TGTTCTCGACACTCAACAGCTCGTCCGCCATAGCTTGTCGAGACTTGGATTATTTCATCATTTCCTCGACAGAATTTCAAATATGTCCATGAATAAATCGCATAATCGCTCGAGCAAATTACATAATCCACAATAAAATCCGATAATCATTCAAGCAAATCAGATAATCCTCCACGCATAAGTCAAATATATTCCTCGAATAGATCAAATAATCACCTCGATTAAGTCAAGCAATCATCCACAAATAAACCCGATAATCACTCGAGCAAATCAAATAATCATCCATGCACAAATGAAATATATTCCTCAAATAATCATCCTCGAATAAATCAAATACCTCCAAAAATAAATTAAATAGCACATCCTCGAATAAATCAAATACCTCTGCAGATAAATCAAATAATATCTCGAGCAAATTAAACAATTCTCCTCGAACAAAATAACATATCCTCGATATAGCCAAGTAATCACCTCAATTAAGTCAAATAATTTCCACGAAAAAGTTGCATAATCCTCATGAATTAATTAAAATTCGTATCCTCGATCAAATCAAATAATGCTCCATAAATCAGTCAAATAATCCTCACGAATATATCAAGTAGCCTCTTCGAATAATTCATATAATTCCGCACACGAATCAAATAATCGCTCGAGCAAATCAAATAATCCTTCACGCATAAATCATATAATTATCCACGAATTCTCCCAGTAATATCTCCTCGAACAAAATAAATAATATCTCCTCAAACAATAAATATTACTTCGAGCAAAATAATATCTCCTCGAATAAATCAACTATCCTCGATCTAGTCAAGTAATCACCTCAATTGAGTCAAATAATCTTCCACAAATACATCCAATAATCACACGAACAAATCAAATAATATCTCGAGTATGCCAAATTTTCAGTTAAGATCCTCAAATCTCCACATTTAAATTAGTTACATACCTCCGTTGCGAGAATAATATCTCAAATTACCTTACTATCCGCGCTCAATCATCCCAAATTAGTGTTGACCACAAAAAATGGGCTGTTGGATTAAGCTGGGGAAATTTAGGCCGCTATTGGACCAGATTTGCTTACCAGGCCGCGGAAAAATGATGTTGGGTCGCCAGAGATTGTGCTGGGCCTCGATTGAACCACATTGTGCCAAGAAATCACGTGTTGGGCCGATAAAAAATGGCAGCAGGGGAGCTGGGCTGCTCGCGGGCCACACGCGGGCTCTCGCGGGCCAAGTCTGGGCCGAAAGGTGGCTGGGTGAAGGCTGAGGCCGGGCTGGTCGCGGGCTCTAGCGGGCCGAATTCTGTGAGGGAAGCGGGCCGCGCGGGCTGGGCGCGGCCCGCGTGCTGGAACTCCTCTGCTGTTGGGTCGCGCGACGTTGGGCCGTGACTGTTGGGCTTCGCGAATATGGGCCGCGCGATTGTGGGCCATTACGCTGAGATGGACGTGGGCTGTTGAAACAAGCTGGGCCACGCGCGTCAGGCTACTGGGCTGCCTCCGCCTCAGGTCAGAGTTGCGGGATTCCAGCTATTGCAGAGCTGCGAGAATGATGACCGGAAAATGCTGGTCCGAAGGATATCGTCGGCGCCGGAAAAACAAGAGCAGCTGGGGATGCGGCTCGGCGAGGAGAATTCATCGGTGACGTCGGGTTTGGCGTGACTAACCGAAAATCGCCGAAAAAAAGAGGAAAATGACCGGATTTTGACCAAATCCTATCTAGATCCACGAACTTT